AGAGACAGGTCAGAGAGACAGACAGGTCAGAGAGACAGGCAGGTCAGAGAGACAGACAGGTCAGAGACGGACAAGTCAAGGGTCAGAGAGACAGGTCAGAGAGACAGACAGGTCAGAGGGACAGAGAGGTCAAGGGTCAGAGAGACAGACAGGTCAGAGAGACAGAGAGGTCAAGGGTCAGAGAGACAGACAGGTCAGAGAGACAGACAGGTTGTTGTACTCACCGATGACACAGAAAGGTTTTCTGGCGAACTTGAGTCGTCCTCTCCATCCTCTGTATCGACAACAACAACCTGCAGCCCAGATCCTCACCATGTACTCCACCCCGAACACCACGATGGTGACCACTTCCTGTCACATGACACCAACACGCCGTTCAAACACAACTGCTCCTTTTACAGGCATTAAGAAAACTAAATAATAAACAGAAATGATGAAGAGAAGCTTTGAGCAGCCTGTTGTGACACTAGCCCCGCCTCTAACAAGGCAAAGAGCCAATCATAGTTCAGGATTACGCGGTGGCCAATCAGATTTCTACCCAGGCCACCCTTTGGCCCCGCCCCCTGTCCATCAAGACAGAAAAAGTGTTTGGCTCTGAACAGCTGCAGTATTTCAGGTTTCAGTTTCACACTGATCCTGTGAGGAACGAGAGCGATCATCAGACACTCTCAGTTTTCCTGGATGGAGACGTCCTCAGTGCAGCGAGCCGAGCCATGAAAAATCAATAAGAAACATCGATTGTGCTGATTCAGCAGCACCTCAGAGCAACATGTTCCAGCTGGTCAAACATGAGTCGACAGATTTCCTCTCATCGGATCGTTTCTGTGTTCGTGTTTTAAGAAGAATCAAACGGCGTTCTGGAAGCTGCTGCTGGTGGATTTTACGTCCATCGACTAAACGATTAACCTCTCAGTGAAGTGACGGGGGAAGAACAGTTCAACCGTTCATTCGCTCCAGGCTGAAATAACGCCAGACACACTCTGTACACTGCGTCTGTCCTGACGCCTTCAGACGCCTTACAGCACAGCGCTCTTCGATTTATCACAGGCCTTGAACGCATCACTGAGATCTCTATTGATCTGAAGGCGGGCCCTCATTCACTCAATGAAGAGAGCAGCACAGTGTTTTGTTTATTTACAGGACCCTGATTGGTCGACTCCCTCTTTACCTGACGATGACGACTTCTGTCTTTAAACATTTCAAACCATTCAGACAGATCTTAAACCCGGGTCACTTTAAAACACAGAGGGGTCAGACTGCACTTATACTGACGCTGCACCCGTCAGGGGCGTGTCCAGACTTTTTGGACTGGGGGGGGGGGGGGCGCTGACTTGTGCGGGGTCGGCCTGATGTTTGTGTGCACACATGAATGAAGAGCATTCATTTAAACCCTGAACAAATCACATCGACTTATAAGTCGAACAAGATGAGAGCGACACATGTTGCCAACAAACATCTGAACGCTGAAAACGAAGAGCTGCCTGTTGGAACACAAGTCCCGCCTCTGGCAATGCAAATAGCCAGTAATAGGCAAGGATTTTGGGGTGGCCAATAAGAGTTCAAGGGGGGGCCCATGCCACCCCTCTGGACACGCCCCTGGCACCCGTTATGTGGATGAACTTTAAAAAGACATACCGCATTTTTTAAAGAGCTAGTGTCTGAACTACTCAGAGAAGCAAAATGTTTGAACTGTTTTAAAATCATTAAAATGATCTGCAAGTATGAACGAGTGTTTCAGTGTCTTCAATGGTAACTGTGTTTATCTTTGTTCTGTTTTTATTTGTACTGCTGCTTGAATAGAGAGCTCGGTCTCCTGCTAAAGTAAGGTTTTTAAAATCGTATTAAAATACAGAAACTCAGAGAGGATGTGATTTGTAGACTGTGGTCAGTGTGTGCTCGCTGATGGAGAGGTAAATGTTGTTTTTTGTTTTACCAGAGTGTAGAGAGCGTCCTCTGAACTCTTCTCGTACTCTTTGATGGTGGAGAACACAGACAGAACCAGGCAGGAGAAGACCAGCAGGAACCTGAACAGAGAACACACTCGTTAAGACACACAATCTGTTCCTGCTTCACACTCCGCTCTCTGAAATCTGACCTCAGATCTGTGTTTCAGGGGGAAGATTGATGCTGTGACACCTGATCGGAGAGCTGTCTTTATTTATAGATCTTCAGATGTTCCTGGAAGAGCAGACTGCAGTTAACTATTTTAACCAATTAATGGGGTCCATGTCCATCAGTAATCATTAAAGTGGAGTTTAGAGAGCTTTGATTACATTTCCTGTCAACACCTGCTCGGCTCTCTGTTTAGACTCTGAATGTGGGTCATTAAACCCCCAGAGCTCTGACGACTAACTGGATGTTTTAAGACGAACAAAAACTGATCAGTACTGCAGTCTAAATTCTAAACATCATAGAGAGCTGTCTCCCCCCCTCCTCTCTAGAGTCACTCAGGTCACCATGTGGTGGACTCTGAAGCTTCAGTGTTTATCCAGCTCTGCATGGGTCTGTAAACCTTTCTGTGTTCTAACCTCTCTCCATTTTTCAAAAGCATCTCCAATATTGATCCTAGTTTGAGCACGTTTCTGCTCGTGGAGCTTATTAGAAACATGCAGAGGCTTTTTAGGTCGGGTACAATCACTTCTATCTGAACCACTTCTCTTGACCGCTTCCATCGCTGCAACACCTGTTGACCTGATAACTGCTCTCATATCTGACAAACCGAGGGGCGTCCAAAACGGCCGTTGGGGGGTCTTAAAAGCGCCTACCTTCTCTGGTCCAAACAAATCCAGAGCATTCAGGAGCAGAATCTAAAGTTAGAAGGAGGACATACTGGCTGCTGCATTGTTGTCAGAGAAGCCAGCACTTCAACATAGCATGTTTCCTTAATGATCAGAGAGTAAGATACCTTTATCATCTCACTCTCCACACAGCTCACTGATTGGACCTTTAAGTGGTTGGCATGCTAACAAGTTAATCTAAGACAGGTATACACAGATAGATGTGGTTGTAGACAGATGGATGTATTGAGATTTTGTAAATCAGGTGTATGGACAGGTTCATACAAAGTAAGATAGAAATGGGCATACACAGGTAAACTAAAAGGTGTATAAACAGTAAACGTGTTCATACAGTGAGACATAGAGGGGTGAATACAGGTAGATAGACAGGTTATAGATAATTAGACAGGTGTTCAAAAAGAGGAGGGGGATTGACATGTGTATAGAAAGATGTATTAACAGGTAAACAGGTTGTTGCATATATATATATATACACACACCAGGTGTGTGTACAGTATAGATGGGTAGACAGGTGTGTGTATAGACAGGTGTGTGTATAGACAGGTAGTTACACGTATGCGTGGTAGATGAAGGCCCATCCTCGGGGTCTCTCCAGCGCATTGTACAGGAAGTTCTGCAGTCGTCTGTAGAAGGCGTTTCTCTTTGGAGGTTTCTTCACACCTGAGACGCTGGTGCGCTGTCGCCGAGGCCCCTCCTCTCCACCTGAGCACAGGTGATATTTAAAAAGAACTGAGTCAGCTTTTTAATTCATTTTAAATGAACTATAGACCCACAGAGACCTTTCCTCCTCTCAGAGTCTTCTTTACATTTACACATTTCTCTCACTGATCGGCTTCTTAACTTCAGTGTCTCATGGAGAACAACATCATGATATATCAGGCTGTCATTGTTCCACTTTGACTATTTAAGGTTTGAATACATTAATTGGAAGAGGCACCAGCCAATCACAGCAGCAGTCTGATTGAAATGTGCAGGTCTGGACATAAACAGGGTGCTGTGGTTCACGTGAGATCATCAGAAACAGCAGCTGATAAAATGAAACACTCAGCATTTAAAACTGACACACACACACACACACACACACACACACACACACACACACACACACACACACACACACACACACACACACACACACACACACACACACACACACACACACACACACACACACACACACACACACACACACACACACACACAATGTATTCCATGTATTCCGGTAATTAACGCTCGTGAGCCTGCAGCTGATGTTTACCTGCAATGAGCAGAACCCCGTCCCTGCTGGACTCGGTTCCCCCAGCCTCCAAACCCACAAAGCCGACCTTTAGCTTCTTCTGGTCGGCCTGTGCTCCGGGGAACACCCCGCCGTTCCGGGATTTCTGCACCATGACTGAAAGACGCGACCTGCAACGACCTGCCGATCTACTTCCAACCCGCGGACATGAAGCTGCGGCCGGCCAGGCCCGGAGGGAGCATCGCTGCTGCGGAGCGGAGGAGAGAGGAGAGGAGGAGCAGAGGAGGAGGAGGAGGAGGTGAAACGAGGAGCAGGAGAGAGGAATGCAGGAAAACAAAACCCGCAGAGACACAGTCGGGCAGCAGATTGGCTGATCAGCAGTTTTTTTTTCCCCTTCAGCGACTTCCCGCAGAAGAAGGATATGGAATGACGTCAGCGATGGTTGATTGATCAAGCTTCCAGATAAAGAAGAAAAAAACACAACTGATCAGCTGATCAGTTTAATGATCGAAACGAAACACGCCAGAGAAAGATCAATGTGTGCGTGTGCTGTCATCTCTGCCCGTCACCACGGTAACCGGATAATAGGGAGGCGGTAACCATGGCAACGGGAGGAGAGAGGCAGGTCCAGTTAAACAGATCAGCAACTGAATCACAATACAGCAGGGAGGGAGGAGGGGAAGAGGAGAGGAGGCGGGACATAGAGGGTATGGGGAAAAGGGGAGAGGAGGCAGGAGAGAAGGAAAGGTGGAGGAGAGGAGCATGAAAGGAGAGAATAGAAGAGAGAGGAGGATATAAGCAAAGGAAGACATAAGGGGGAGGAACAAGGAGAGGCGGAGGAGAGGGAATGTTTTGCTGAGCTGTGACATCACAGGGAGGGACAGTATTGATTGGTTCTTTGATATATGAATGATTTATCTTCTTGTTTGTTGGTTTGTGATGAATAATATCAGGCCAACAGAGGATTCAACACACACATTTTGTTTATTATATACACAGGTGAGATCATGACTCAGGTGACATCATCATCAAAACTTTAGTTACAGTTACGATTTTTTATGCAACAAATTTCCGAAACTACACAGTTTTCTGTTATCACCAGTAAATCAAACGTCCTGTTGCCATGGTAACAGATAGTTGCAGCGTACAGTGGGGTAGAAGTCGGGGTCAGGGTGGTCAGGGGTCCTGGAACAGCGCCGAGTAGAAGGCGGGTTCAGAGCAGCGTCTGTGGTAACGAAGGATGATGTCACTGATCATCTGCTTCCTTCGGAGTCGCGGAGGAGGGGCGGAGTCGGTCTCCAAGCGTCGCCGATGGCAACAGTTGATCACTGTCTCTCTGACGAGGAAACCTGGAGACAAGGAGAGAAGGATTAGGGGCGTCTCAGGGCGTGGAGCTGGTGTGTCTCCTCCATGAATTAGAATAAAAAAGTGTGTTTTTGTTCCTTGTATTAGTCAGGGGGAGTGTTTAAGTCATCACGCTTTAAATTTAGGATGGACCATGTTTTTCTAACCTCCGTTCCCCCATGATGCAACAGGTAAGATGAGTTTAATCATATATATCATCGTTCACATTCAGAGGGCTCTTAGGGACCATTAAGGTGAAACTGTAAGAGGATCAGACAGACAGGAAGTGGGCAGTGAGACAGGCAGACGAACCCAGAGACCGCTTGCTGACCACGCTCCCATTCACCAACGGGATGACCAGACTCAACTTGCTGTTGGCATTTCCATGGAAACAGATCCGGTAGAGTCCAGATTTCAGAGGATGGATGAAGATGAGTTGAGTGTTTGACAAACTGACGGACGGATGAACAGGACGATGAATTATTAACGAGATTAAAGGTGTTTTTGTAAACGTGCTCACTGTTGATGTTTACCTCGTCACTGTTTCCGTCTTCGTCTCTGACAGCAGATCAGACGAAGGGAAACTCTCTGAAACACAAAGACACGAGAATAAGATGTATATTCAGCCCCATTTGGAGAATAATGCACACACTTACAGAACCTCTAGTCTACCAGCGCCCCATACAATAAACCTTTTGTGAACCATTAGTTACCGATGTCTTCAAAGCGTTCCATCCACACGATACCGATTTTAGAATCAGAGTCGACAAACGATGAGACAAAACGGAAAGACTTCACTTTGTCCACCGGAGAACTCTGCAGAGACAGACATGTCAGAGACAGAGACATAAAAACAGACAGATTGATTTTATTACTTAAATAATAATCTTTAATTTAAAAGCTCTTACTGCTGGTTTGGGGGCGGAGTCTTTATTCAGCACAAAAGGACTCTGCAGCTTTAAGTGGCTCTCAGTCGTTGGCTCTGCAGCGCCTGGACTCTTTGACCGACCAATCACTTCAAAGAAAAATAACAGTAATATATTTTACCTTATAGAGTAAAATATACAGTCCCACCTGTCCTTATATGGTCACACCTGTCCTTATATGGTCACACCTGTCCTTATATGGTCTCACCTGTCCTTATATGGGTACACATGTCCTTATATGGTCACACCTGCTTATATGGGTACGCCTGTCCTTATATGGTCCCACCTGTCCTTATATGGGTACACCTGTCCTTATATGGTCACACCTGCTTATATGGTCACACCTGTCCTTATATGGTCACACCTGTCCTTATATGGGTACACCTGTCCTTATATGGTCCCACCTGTCCTTATATGGGTACACATGTCCTTATATGGTCACACCTGTCCTTATATGGGTACACCTGTCCTTATATGGGTACACCTGTCCTTATATGGTCACACCTGTCCTTATATGGTCACAACTGTCTATTACCGGTCAAGTCTGTCTTGTCATGACTCTAGTGACATCATGACTTAAGTGATGTCAGTGTTGAGATGATCAGACTGACCGTGTGATGATGATGACGGGACGATGAAGGTGATTTCTGTCAGCGCGTCGACGTACATCATAACAAACTTCTCTCCGTTAAAAACGCTTCCTCCACTGTCAGCGAGCACAGCAGGGAATCCTGGGAAACAGTAAAACACAAATCAGCTCCAGAACAGAGCGACCTCACGTAACTGTTAAGGACCAATCAGAGCCCTTACCTGCTCTGTTTACTTTGAACACCTGTCGACGCCCTGCCTCCACTGGCCAACCCAGAGACGACAGGAACTCCAGGAAGTGAGACGAGACGCTGCTGCTGGACTCCACGTTGTTCAGGATCTATAGAGAGAGGCGAGAGAGACAGGTGAGTTTGCCCTTCTCAGCTGACAGACAGACAGACAGGTGAGACAGACGGGTGAGACAGACAGGTGAGTATGACCTCAGCAGCCGTCCTCTGTCCCGCTCTCACGTAGAAGACGAAGGCGGAGTCACAGTTTCTGGACGGCAGCTGGTCCAATCGTCTCAGATCCTCAGAGAAACCTGGAAGAGACGAGTCCAGAGACACCAGCTCAGGTAGGACACCGCTGGTACCTGAATCCTGAAGAGACACAGGTGAGAGGAGGACAGGCGAGACAGCATCAAAGAAAACATGAATCAATAAATAAATTCACTTCCTGTCTTTGGTACCTTCAGGGTTTCAGGTGTCAGCAGGCCGAGGTGGGACAGGAAGACTCTCGCCGTCTGAAACTTGGTGACAGGTGGCGGCGTCCTGCAGGTCGTCATGTCAACCGGCTTCTCGCTCACCTGCGGCCAGGCCTCAACCTGTCTGCACCTTTTGAAAGCTGCTCGCACTGACTCCAGCTGCTTCTGCATCTGACAGAGGGGGTGGAGTTACAACCTGACAGAGGGGGCGGAGTTACAACCTGACAGAGGGGGTGGAGTTACAACCTGACAGAGGGGGTGGAGTTACAACCTGACAGAGGGGGTGGAGTTACAACCTGACAGAGGGGGTGGAGTTACAACCTGACAGAGGGGGCGGAGTTACAACCTGACAGACACCTGAACACACTCACTAAAAACACAAATCATTCAAACATTATTATAATATTAAAACAATAATCAAAACATCGACACGGAGCAAAGAACACCTGTCTGTCTTTAAAGGGACAGTTCTTTATTTCTGAAGTCGTATTGTTTCAGTATTAAGTGTATCAGGAAGTGCAGGTCAGCTCGTCCTGTTTACTACGATGGCTGGGAAGTGAAAATCTAAATTAGGAAGTGTGAACACTTTTATAAACCTCGAGACAAATTTACAAACCACAGAATCTCGCTGGAAAGGGAATGTGATTATTTGAAACTGGTGCGGACCAGATGTTCTTCTGAGTCCGGATCACTCATAACACACCTCCTTTAGGGATGCACTAGGAACTGTTGTGTCACTGTTTCATGATTCATATCGGTTAATTAAAATCAGATCATTGTTATGGCTCATCACGAGGGCTCGGGGTTCTTACCTCCTTTGAAATGGTCTCGTGCAGATCTGGAATGCTCAGGTCCGCTTTGACTGTGAAAACTCGATCCATGGATTCAGACAACAGCTGATGTTTGACACCATGCTGTATCCCAGCATCCACCTGGGCTGCACCGCTGTGCTCAGGGAACAATGTTTGCTGCTGTGGATTTTCAGACAGAAGAGGAAAAATCACAGCTTTGAAGTCCTCAAGTCTACCAGCGGGATGATCATGGATTTCATTTTAATACTCATTGATGTGATTGATTTACATTATGTGTAGTTTAAGATCATTGAGCTGTGTCACCTGAGTGGTCGTCGTTCTTCCTTCTCTGGGCTGCAGGTGGTGCTGTAGAGTCCAGGTGTGACTTCCTGATGGTCCTCTGATCAGGACTGTGAGTGACGGTCTCGGCTCTGCACACACCCAATAGGATGTCAGGCATGAAGAATTAGCTTTAATAAAAACTGAGCAGCTACATCGGCCTCTTCAGCATGTTTTTAAAAATCTGATGTGTTTGAGGATTATTCTTAATTTTTCTGAGG